TTGATGAATTAATTTGCAATCGTAACAAATCGATCGCTTTTTTAAATAAATATATCACATTTGTTTTTCCTTGATTTGTTCCTATAACAAAATTATTTCTCTCAGTGTGGAAATACCGAAAGCTAATCTTATTCTTATGATAAAAATGACAAATTTATAATTTATGAAAAGTAATAATACTTTTGATAAAATAATTTTGATAAAATTATATATAATATATAATTTTGTTAATACTAAATATTTCTCTGTTGTATAAATTAATAACCGAATTTTTTTGCATAACGCGCGGCATTACAACGTAATCTCTTCTCTTCCCTGCGATTTCAACGCGAAAGAATTATTCGGGGCAATTTTACTCGGATCAAAATTCGGTGCTTCCGTTTCTGACAACGTTCAATAATCTCCCATGCATATTTCACCGCACGCGCCGTCGAGCCTCTAAACGAACTGTAGCATATGACAGAATACGCGTGCGTGTTTAAAGCGGATTTGTCTCGGATACGATGAAACATACAATATGTGCGATATGGACTGTGTCGTCGGAGATCTCGAGTTTTCATATTTTCGGTATGCCGTTATTGGATGATTGTTATGCTATGTGATTATCGATAATGAACGTTTATACATTATAAATATTGCCAATTTCTGCCTTTCTCTTTTTCTCTCTCTCTCTCTCTCTCTCTCTCTCTCTCTCCCTCCCTCTCTCTCTCGCTCTCTCTCTTTCTCTCTCTCTCTCTCGCTCTCTCTCTCACTTCAACTTGTAATACGTCGTCTAATAATGGGTATTATTTCTTCTCTCGGATCTCGCATTGTTATATTTTATCTCCTAATATAATCAAAGTATCAAACCACAATAAGAAAAATACATTACAGTGCTTTGGTATAATAAAACGCGTGCCTGTATGTAAATCGCCGCGGGTCGGCTGTCATAATCCTATCGAATCGTCAGATCTACGTAGGACGACGCGGTGAGATCGCGATTTGTGAGCACACACAAATGAAAATTACACGGCGGATCGAATTATATAACTTGGCGCAAGCACGAGGAATCCTCTTTATAAGCCGCCTCCGCGAACTCATTTCCGCGACTACAACGCGCTGAATCACGGATATGGCGAATGATGCGAAAAGTTTCCTACCTGCCTCTCAAGAAGCATCCGGGAATTGTTTTTCTTCCATCAAGTATCTCTGCTCGAATTTTCCGTCTTTCCCTTAAGTTCCGCAAGTAAAAGTTGAAATTACGAAACAGGGGTTACATCTCGGATATAAGGGGTGTAAGATTCACAGGAGAAATTCCGCATCTATCGCGAATCACGACAGTAACGTTGGTATTCGCAATCAGCGAATAACTTATTATAATCTCGCGTGTTCAGTACAACGCGATTTATTACATTAAATTTATCATATCAAACACAAAACCATTCCATGAATATCAACGTTTTCGATGTTTGAATTCCAACTAAAGCAACGTATGTCGCTGCAACGTGTGCATGAATTCCCCATTGAGATTCGCAAGATTCCTCGTGAAATAACGCGGCTAATAGCCGACTCAATGCGATCATCGTACTGAGACCGTAGTGGCAGATATCAAACTGCCGGAATTGCTGTTCCATGGTGTATTGATATTCAACGGGTGTCTGCCTGATAAAGCGTTGAGTGGAATATTCAATCAAGCCTGGTGGCGAGAGGGTGAACGAAGGTGAGGGAAGGGGATGCATCTTGCCGACCAGATGCTGCGACGACTAAGGTAGACGATGACGGTAAAAGGTGGAGAGGATCACGAAGAATCGTGGATGGCGAGCGTGTTGATCGACGCTGCTTGCGCATTCCTGGCGAGGACTAAGGAATAACGTCGCTAAAGCGAAGGTAAACGATTCCTCGGCGTCAACGAGTTCACGAAGAGGATCCTTGGCTGGAGAAGTAATTCGATATACAAGCGGCGCATGCTCAGTTCTGATCGCATGAATTCTTTACATTTTTCCGGGATATTATATGGCATGAAATCGCGACGAATCGAATGGCCTGAGAGATTAAACGTATGTTTAAAGTAAAGTGTATTTCGTTTAGAAGGACGAGAGAAATTCTCTCGACGCTTTTCTATCCAGCATACTTTAGCTCT